TTATTTCTAATGTCATTAAAAGTGTATGTCCTTTAACCAGCTAGGTTAAGATTTAATAACCTAACTGTCCAACAATATGGAGGTGGCTAACTAAATTATGGCTCATCTAAGTGAGAAAAAAACCCTGCATAGTTTATTTAAATTCATGTTTTACAAAAATAATGACATGAAAAAGTTTAAGATATAATTTTCAGTGAAAATCAGTTTCAAAAATATGACAAATAGAGATTGATATGTGTGTATGTGTGTGTATATGCCCCAGCTTCACCCAGCCCAACATTAGTTACCAGCCCAGGGAAACTGTTGTCTCTTAGATTTCTTCAAGCTACAGTTTTATAAAAGTTCTTTCACTTAGCTCTCTTGATTAATACAGTAACCAAAAAGTAAAAGCCAAACAGCCCAATAAAAATGTAAGCAAAGGTATTCATAAGCATTGGGGTCAGGGGAGAATGTAAGTAATGGTACAATACCAAAAAATTCATATAACAGGAAATTCAAATAGTTTAAAAACATAAAAACATTTAGCATCACTAATAAATAAATCTTTATTTATGCACATATATACACATATATGAATTAAACCAATTTTATGTCATGTTCAGCTTATCAAATTGATTTTTTTTAAATTAAATCATGTTACCAGATGTGGAAGAGGATAGGATAAACTTTCTCAAATACTGATGAATGAAATTAGAATTTCTGGGAAATAATCTGATATTATCTACAAAGAACACTAAATGTTCAAATAATATAACATTTTATATACAAATGGACCCATCAAGTCCACTTCTAAAGTCCACCACTAGAAATATTATCCTAAAGAACAAATCTAAGATTTTCAGAGATTTCTACAGAAGCCCAGCAAAGCATTATCCATATGGTGTTTGTGGAAATGACCTAGATTTCCAATAACTCAGTATGTTTTACATAAAATGTGGTTCATCCATCTGATGGGATGCCAACTTGAAACATTCTGTTTGAGAGGAATAAGTAATGACTTTCTCTCATGTTTCCTTTTTAAATGATCAGTAAGTTCTGCCTCTACTGTCTCCAAAATATATTCCAGATCCAGTCACTTCCCAGCATGTCCACTTCAGATGCCCTGACCCAAGCGGCCTCGGTCTTCTGCCTGTACAACTACACAGCCCCTTAGCTTGTCCTTCTCACCCACTCCCTCCACAGTGAGCCTGCACCACAGGCTCTCAACGCAAAACTGGGTCCTTTCACTCCCTGCCTAGAACCCTCTAATGGCTTCCCATTGGAATTAGAATGAAATCGAACTCCTTCCCATCACTCTGGACCCCTGTGTCTGCCCTGACTGCCTCTCCTCCCTCATCTCCACCAATCTCCTGACCTCCACCTTCTACAGAATGGCCAAGCTTGTGCTATTCTGGCCTCTCCGCTTGCAAAGTCATCCCCTTGGAACAGCGCCCTGCAGACCTCCTCAGAGCTGCCTCTTTCCCATCATTTACATCCCAACTGAAATGCCAGGTTCTTAAAGTGACCTTCCCTGACCTCCCTTCCTAGCTAAAGTGGTATCATCGCTCCTCAAAATCTCTCTAGCCCATTAGCCATGTGTTGTTATTTTCAAAGCACATATTACGTTCAAAATATCCAGGGTTGGCCTCTTTGTTGCCTAGCTGTTCACCTGTGTAAGGAGAAGGACCACCTTTCTTGTTTACCACTGTGTCCCCCTTTGCTTAAGAATGACTGTGCACACTTATTCACTCAGCAGAGACGCACTGACCGCCCCCTCTGTGCCAGGCACTGTTCTGGTGCACATGGCACATCCCTGCCTCTATGAAGCTTCTATGTTAACACAGGTGAGGGGGAGAGACAAGAAGCACAGTGAAAAGGTAGCTTATCCAATGTATTAGAACATGACAAATGCTGTGGGGAAAAGAAACAGACGCAGAGAGCAGAGTGAAGAGGAGCGCGGGGACAGCTGGGGAGGGGTGGGAGCAGACTGTGGAGTTAAAGAAGGTGATCAGTGTGGGCCTCCTTGCGAAGGAGATGTTTGAGTGAAAACCTGGAGAGGAGCGAGTCCCAGGCACCTGATACTGGGAAGGGCAGTCAAGGCCAAGGCACCAGCTAGACCAAGAGCCCCAAGGCAGGAGCGGAGTGGAGAGGGTGGCATGGGCCTGATGCTCACTCACTCAGAACCAGGTCTGCCTTCTCCTGAGAAAGGATTCTCCATCCTGTGTCCCTGTTGGTGGTACTGAATCGCCTGCCCAGAGGTGATTGGCCACAGGACTCCCACCTAACTAAACAAAGCCATTTCCCAGGACCTTGTAATTTTAACTTACACTGAAGAGAACGTCTTCTTTCCCTCTGGTTGTCAAGTGAAAGATAAGAGCCTGGAGCTGCCAGCACCCAGTCCTTCCCTCCCCGCGTCTAGCACACGTGTTGTGTGCCGGTTTCCATTCGGGCACTGCGGCTGCAGTGGGTAATGAGAAATGGGACTCCCGTCCTCTTGAAGAAGAGGAATATAATAATTCAACAGAGAAAAGTGGCAGCTTTCCAATTATGCTGAGGTCTGTGAAGATCTTCAGGTGCTCAGATAGGAAATGACTAGGAAGGGGACGTTGGTGGTGAGCTCTGAGTGGGGGACTTTTTTTACTTAATATATTTTATTGATTTTTTACAGAGAGGAATCAAACCTGGGACCTTTCAGTCCGCAGACCAATGCTCTATTCACTGAGCCAAACCGATTAGGGCTGAGTGGGAGGCTTTTGAAATGAGATCTTGATGATGAGAAGGGATCAGCCATGCAAATGGCATAGGAAGATGTGTTCCAGGCAGAGGTCCTGAGGTGGGAATGAGCTTGGCAATCCATGTGCTGGGAGGAGGGGGCTGTGGCCAGAGCTTAGGGAGGAAGTAACCCGCGTAGAAGGCAGAGAGGAAGGACACGTGCCTTGCAAAGCGACTGAGCTGGTCGACAGAAAGGAAACTCATGCAGGGAGAGATGCAGAAACAAGAAAAGATCTGAGAGGCCTGCAAAAATTCCAAGTATAGTTCCACTCATCCCTCAGTCAGCTCCCAGATCGTCCTGTCCAAATACAGGAGCCAGAAAGCCCCCTGGGCACTTCAGCTAGGTTTCCTGTCACTGAAACCAGACCAGTTGTGATCATATATCTATAACAGTTTATAGATATATCTGAATATTAAAAATACTGGAAGGAATTACATTGAAATATTAACAATACGTATCTGGGTTACAGAATTCAATGTCATCTTTATACATTTTTGTATTTCCTTAATTCAGTACATTGAACATAACCTACAGTGTTTGAAAATTGTGGATTTTCTTTCTGATTGGATTTTCTCGCTTGGCCCTCTCTCATCCAGTGGAGGCCACTGTGACGGTATGCCAGCACACTTCCCACGCCTGGCTGTCCTTCATTCCCGCCCCTGACAAGTTCTCGACCAAATGTGAAAACAGTTGCAAAAGCAAATAGGACATCTTTCTAGGTATTCCATTAGGCTAGGAAAAATCCTCCTCACTTGTAAATTCCCAGACCCAGGGCACCCCCAATTAACATGGCACAAGGATCTAATCTCTGAATCGTTATTTCCTCACTTGCAAAATCACTGATGGTCAGAAGAAGCCTTACGTCCACTTCATGCACAATTATGACACAATTTCACTTACCGATTAATGGGCGCCCCTGCTCCCAGTGTACAGATGAAAGCACTGAGGCCTGGGAAGTTTAAGTGACTCGCCAAAGTCAACGCTTTCAGCCATTTCATTCTACAGCAAATGAAAGTTGGAGCAGAGGACAAGCCCAGGTGTGGGCAGAGGCAGCAACAGCACGGGCCACAAGCTTTCTGTCTGAGTTCTCTTGGCAGAAAATGCCGCTTTGCTATCAGGACAGGCCAGTGTAGTCAGAACAAGCTCATGGAACAAAGCAGTTTAATTAAAGGAAAAAAATTAGTTGGGTTACAGAGCTGTTCTCTTCACTCCAGGATGGAAATTAATTTATAATAACCTTATCTTTTATTCATGGCAAGCTGCATATTTCAGAGTATGTTGGCATCCTTCTATTTTCCAGTGGAATATGAAATAATTGTGTGTGTCCAATGGGTGCGAGCGGGTGACAGTGCTGAAAGGACACAGCCGAGTCCCGCTGGCCACTCCGGGACGGCTGAGCCGTGGGCAGAAGCGTGGGTTCCTCCTGATGAGTCATGATGTTTAAAATTCCGAGGCCGCGGCAGGCTGCCCAGCACCCCTTTCAGATTGATCACTCTGGCCCTAACTCCATTAGCGGCGGAGGACAAAGGAAGCCCATTCATTTTCTTCTAACGCCCTCCTTCTCCCTTCTCAGACCAACCTGACGGAGCTGAAGTCCTTTGGCTCTCCACCTCCGGCCGTCAGCAATGTCAGCGCCGCCGTGATGGCGCTCATGGCCCCCGGGGGGAAGGTGCCCAAGGACCGCAGCTGGAAGGCCGCTAAGGTCGCCATGGCCAGAGTGGATGGCTTCCTGGACTCCCTCGTCCGCTTTGACAAAGAGAACATCCATCAGAACTGCCTCAGAGCCATCAGGCCATACCTGCAGGACCCCGAGTTCAACCCGGAGTTCGTGGCCACCAAGTCCTACGCGGCGGCGGGCCTCTGCTCCTGGGTCATCAACATTGTGAAGTTCTACGAGGTGTTCTGTGACGTGGAGCCCAAGCGCCAGGCGTTGGGCAGAGCCACCTCGGACCTCACCACTGCCCAGGAGAAGCTGGCAGCCATCAAGGCCAAGATCGCTGTAAGTGAGCAGCGCCCTCTGACCCTGCTGGGTGCCTCTGGCCCTGCTGGGTGCCACTGACCCTGCTGGGTGCCTCTGACCCTTCCAGGTGCCCTCTGACCCTGCTGGGTGCCTCTAACCCTTCCAGGTGCCCTCTGCCCTGCTGGGTGCCACTGACCCTGCTGGGTGCCTCTGACCCTTCCAGGTGCCCTCTGACCCTGCTGGGTGCCTCTAACCCTTCCAGGTGCCCTCTGCCCTGCTGGGTGCCACTGACCCTGCTGGGTGCCTCTGACCCTTCCAGGTGCCCTCTGACCCTGCTGGGTGCCACTGACTCTGCTGGGTGCCTCTGACCCTGCTGGGAACCCTTTGACCCTGCTGGGTGCCCTCTGACCCTGCCAGATGCCCTCTGACCCTTCTGGGTGCCCTCTGACCCTACTGGCACCCTCTGACCCTGCTTAGTACCGTATAACCCTGCTGGGTGCACTCTGACCCTGCTGGGTGCCTCTGACGCTGCTGGGAACCCTCTGACCCTGCCAGGCACCCTCTGTCCCTGCTGGGTGCCTCTGACCCTGCTGCCTGCCCTCTGACCCAATTGGGCACCCCTTGTACAAGTAGCACTCTCTGCCATTCCCAGAGCCTAGAACAGCCGTGGGCAAACTACGGCCCGCAGGCTGGATGCGGCCTGTTCTAAATGAATAAAACTAAAAAAAAAAAAAGACCGTACCCTTTTATGTAAAGATGTTTACTTTGAATTTATATTAGTTCACACAAACACTCCATCCATGCTTTTGTTCTGGCCCTCCGGTCCAGTTTAAGAACCCATTGTGGCCCTCGAGTCAAAAAGTTTGCCCACCCCTGGTCTAGAAGCAGGGAAAACAGGTTGATGTGCAAAATCTCCTGATTTTTCAGTTGAGGCGACTTTTTACATTTCTTCCTCAAACAATGTATAGTCCAGACAAGACACTAAACCATTGGTTTACACTTTGCCCCTGAAAGTTTTTTGTTTTTTTTCTCCTTTTCCTCCGAGGAAGGAAAAGATGACATGGAGATGTATAATAGACAAATAGTGTTAGGCATGAAACCAGCTGTTTTCTCATTAAGCACACGTGAATTTTGCATGTTTGCACATCTGATAGCTAAGAATAAAAGGTCAAACATTTGAGATTCTATCTCTCTTTGAGATGCAGGCTTTGGCCACCCAACCTCACCTTTTGCACCTTTTACCTTCAGCCTGTGCAGCTGCTCTCCTGCAGCTCGCTCAGCAGTGTGAGCCCATGGCCTGCCGTGTGGGCACGTGGCCCGCTCGGCACTGTGCCATCTGCATTGCTCCATGAGAGCTTTTAAAGCAAGTAGTATATTGACCATAAATATAAAACTAATGAGGGTCATTAGTTTTGATTAGCCTGTTATTGATACTTGATTATAAATGCCTCACCCAGCCTGGGGTTAGGGGTGAGGTAGGATTCACACCTATTTGAGATTTCCCTTGAACATTACCTTTGCTGTTAAAATGGATCCTACTGAATTGAGAGGTAGACATTGGAGCCCCATGGGATGGCATAGCAGCTGAAACCCATTGGCAGACCTCACTTCCAACCCAAGCTGTAATATCTGCTTCTGTGTGATGTCTAGAAAGGTCTTAAAATGCCCAGACTTCAGTTTCCTGGAGTAAAACAGGCACAACAATGTCCCTGCTTCATTCAAGGAGAAAATGCACGTAGGCAGGAGCCCAGAGCCCGGCCCCTGCTGACACGGAGCTGCTGCCGTGAGGTGGGTACGGCCACCGAGCCTGCTGGGCCCTGCTCCCTGGCCGCCTCCCCAGCTACGTGTGCTCTCACACGCACACACAACCCTGGGAATCAGTCACTATCATGACCAAGGTCGAGCCTTCATTTCCACACGTGCATTCCAGGCATATAAGGTTCTCGCTGCACATTTCTCATGCTGATTGGAAGGGTTTTTACAAATGGTGAAAAGGAGGCTTGTAGACCTGCCGCACGCTTCGTGCCCTGGGCTTATTGACTGGTGGGTTAAAGGCTGTCGCTAAAGGCTAGTTCAAAGATCAGGCAACCAATCTCTAGAAAGAAGAGGCACTTTTGACAAAGCAACTAACTCCTCAGTATGTTTGCTTTATAAATCCAGATGTGCACAGGCCGGTTTACTTGAAGCACACCTTCATCACCATAACTACGGCCCTCTTCAAAGAATACCAAACGCAAGCACCATCACGCCCCAGGACTGCTTCTGGGGGAAATACCTCCCAGCGATGCCCATGTTCTTCAGTCTCTCCCAGAATAGTGTTACAAGAACTGCATTTCAAAGCACTCGTCGCTCGAGTTATTTAAAGGAACATTTGGTGCAAAAGGCATGTTTGCAAAATGTTTATACCTTTTCAGTAGCCAACATTCCCATGACAGCCTACTCAACCTATGAATGCAACACAATGTTTTAAAATACTTGGCTACCTTACGAAGGCACTTCTTTCCTGCCAACATATCTTTTAATATATTTTCACTTTTAACAACTGCCTCTCCATCTTTTGCTTATTCACATGACTATCAACACCCCAAGAGTTTGACCACTCCCCCCCAATAACAGAGGAACTCACTTACACCATCTCTGACATGGGGCCCACCCAGGGCAAGGACATTCTTCCCGACGAGCTACCAAGGCCGTCGTCAGCCTTCTCCAGTTGCACATCACCCCAAGCCTTATTTTTAGAATTTTAGGATAATTCCACATAAATTGTATATTCAAGATGCTCAAATTTTACAATTACTAGAGTCCCAATGCATGAAATTCGTGCAAGGGGCTTGGCCCTTGCAGCAGCCCTGGCTGCCTCGCAACCCCGCCCCCACCCACTGGTTGTTCAGGAAGGTCGTTATGCCATCCGGCTAATTAGCATATTAGATCTTTATTATACAGGATAATTTCAATTAATCTATACATGCAATTATAATATATAAAATATGAATAGTGGTGGTTAGCTCTGAGTGGTAGATTTTAGATGGTGCTTATCCATATTTTCTTTTTTTATATAATGAGTATGTTGTATATTATTACAACTTATAAAAGTAATAGTAATAAAAATGAGTAAGGCATTTTCATTGGGCCTATCTTCACCATAAGTAAAATATCAAATAGTAGACAAGGGTTTCTAATGAGAAACTACAATCTTCTGCCCTTTAATTATTTTGTCTGTTTCAACAGGTTGTTGATACCCCTCAGACCTTGCTACCTAGTGGCTTCAATGCGTTGTATTTGATCCACAGATAGTGTTTGAAGTGACTTAATTAGTTGCCAACATTTAAAACAATGGGAGCTTGTAAAAAATTTGATATCTGGACAGTCTTAAAAGAATAAGATCCCCAAATAGCACTAACTGAACCTGGAGTTAAGTAGTGACCTCCCATTTCAGCAGACAGTTTTGCTATAGTCATTGGACCAGTTTACGTGATCTTTCTGGCCTCTGCTCATTTGAATGGCTTCTTTCTATGTACTGTGCTGGCATCTCATTTCCTGATGTATCTTGTTCAGGCAGTAAACTTGCTGCTAGATGAGACTCTAAGATGTTCATCTCCATGTCTTCCCAAATCATTGTGGCAACTGTGAGTTGGTGTAGCCTTTATTTCTTGTTCCATCAGATAGAGTTAGCTTCCTTGGGGCCCTCAGCTTTCAAGGTGAAGTTATTGCTCTTTCCTTCAGCGCCCTCCCTACCTTCCAATCCCCAAATCCTGTTATCACTACTTATTATCACGGTTGCTTTTGAATCAGCAAGATTGAAAATATCTGCATTCTGTTCTATAACCAAAATTAAGTGTTCCATGCTCTATCCTCTGACTGATTCAAAGAGTTGAAACATCAGTAAATTCCATTTATATTCTGTGAACATGTTCATATTGTTCATAGCAAATCTAAGTGGAACGCTAGCATTACATTGCCTTTCTTATACAACTATTTCTGCAACCCTGGAGTTTCTACTTTCGTTTATCTTTTTTCTCTTCCATTAGTTCCTTTTGCATAGCCTCAATTACTTTTAAACTCTCCATCTAATTCATATTCTACCCGATCATCCTTTGCCTCTAAGACTTTTCTCCCTTATCCCCAACTCAGAGCTCCAGTGTTAATATATTTCACTGCTTTCTTGGGCTGGTTCCAAAGGCTCCTAGACCCCATGCCTTCTCCTTTCTTAATTTCTTCTCTTGTTTTGTGACAGCTCTTTTAAAAGTAACTTTCTTAGAAATGTGAGGTAAGAAGTAAATTTTCTGAATTGCTCCAGTCTGGAATTGTCTTTATTTTTAAACTGAGCTGACAATTTTGCTGAGTATTGAATTCTGAGTTGCTAGTTTTTTCTGCTTAGAACACTGAATGCTTTATCCTCATCTGGTGAGAAATCTGATGAACAGACTTATTAATGCGCTACGTTTCTCTCTTTCTGGAAGTCTTTCAAATTGTTCCTTATTCTTGGTGTCTGAAACTGTACGTTGACATGCTTAGCTACCATCCTTTTTTTATGATGTAGAGACTTTTCTTCAGTTCTAAAACAAATTATTTTGTATTACTTCTTGGTTAATCTCCCTCCTGTTTCTTTTTTCATTTTATCTTGCTGAATACATATTTATTGAATGTTAGACCTTCTAGTGGGGCCCTATTTTCTCTGATCTTTCTATACTTCATGTTTTCTTATACTTTCTAGATTTCCTCAAATTTATCTTTTAAAACTTCCCTTGAATTTGTTATTTTTTTACGTTAACAATCATAATTTCCACAACATTTTTGAGTTCTCTGTTCCTTTAACTAGCATCCTTTTCTAGTTTTATGGATGAGACAACCTGAATCTCTCTGAGATGCTAACTGTGACAGATTCTATGCTTTGTTGCTGATTTTATGCTTGGAACTTATCTTCATGTTCCAAGGTCATGTTTTTAATTCTTGTGTGACTTAATCTAGGCCTTCATCAAATATCTCCCTGTTCTTTCTTTTACAAGAGTCATGAGCAAGAGCTGATTTTAGCTGTACAGACAAGGGCGGAGCCGGTGGACAGACAGCTTGCTCTCCAGATCCGATGAGCTATGCTGGATGCATCCGAACTACCAGAGTGCGTTGTCTTTTCCCTGCCGCTGTCGACTCTCCTGCCTGGTGATATACATGCCTGGTGGCATTGCATACTGAGCGTGCAAATAGAGATATCGAGTGGGGAGTTAACAGGCTTCCAATTTATCCTCTTACTTTCTTTTTTTCTCTTTATTGTTGAAAGTATCATGTGGGTCCTCCTTTTTTCCTCATTAACCTCTTCCAGCCCGCTCCCAACCCTCCCCTCGCCCTCTCTCCTCCTCTCTTCAGCATCACCCTTGATCACACCTGACATCGCCAAGTGCCCAGGGTGCATGGGGCTCTGCAGGGCTGATCAGCCTCCCCCTGGGTGAACGGAGGCTCAGTTCAAGGTTGCAGTTTCTCTGCCCTGCTCAAGCAGTTTCCAATCCCCTGTCAGTGTGGTCTGCATAAAGCTATTGGAATCCTTCACCCTCCAATGGCCCTTCACATTCGCTTGCTGTTATGGGCTTGTGACTTTTTTAATTGCTTCACCATCATTTTAGAAAAGTCTCAGGAAGAAGAAGAATTAAATGAGTGTGGCCAGTCTGCCACCATTAATTGGATGCCTCACCACCTGCTTTTCAAACTGCTTGGCCCTAATTTATTTCTCTTGTAACTTGGTAATGACCAACAGGGCAGCCTGAACCCGAGTCACTGAATAGACTCAGATGCATTTGGAGGTATCTGTCCGGGTGTCTTTGTGTATGCTAATATGTATGCTGGGGGCAACAATATCTAAGAGCTTCAATTCTAAATTCTTAATACATTTAGAAAAAATTGAAACTGTGTATTTTTTTAATGCCCCCATACTTTGGAGTCATGTAAGAGAATAGATGAGGTTAAGTAACAGTTCATCTTATGCTCCTAGGACCCTACAGCAAGGGGGAGGACTTAGGCAATGGTTCTCAACCTTCCTAATGCCGCGACCCTTTAATACAGTTCCTCATGTCGTGGTAACCCACAACCATAAAATTATTTTCGTTGCTACTTCATAACTGTAATGTTGCTACTGTTATGAATCATAATGTAAATATCTGATATGCAGGATGTATTTAGGCGACCCATGTGAAAGGGTCGTTCGACCGCCAAAGGGGTCGTGACCCACAGGTTGAGAACCGCTGTAGGGTGTAGACAGGCCACCCCACGCACAGCCCGGCTGCAGCAGGCACGGAGTGTGGTCCGCCCGGGCCTCCGGGGGTCTTTCTGACCATCTGCAGGCCTCCAGGCTTCAGGGAGCTTTTGCTTCTAAAGGCAGCACCTGCGGCTTTCTGGCAGCCATGAGAGCCTATTTTCCAGGACACAAGGAGAAAGAGAACGTACGCGCCTCCTCCGTGTCCATCAGCCCTCCGGCCCTGGACCAATGACTGGGGAGCTGGTGTAGGAAATCTCAGCTTCTCACTTGGGTCATGACTGCTTTGGACCCCCCTCCGACCTTCTCCCTCTTGGATCTGGCTGAAGTCTTGCTGGGACCCTGCCTGAGAGCGCCCTAATTTGCCTTCTTTCCTGCCCTGCCCCCAGGGGGCTTCCTTAAAGATGCCTGCCCCGGGATCCTGTCTCAAGCACTGAGGAGGTGGGCCCAGGATCACTGACACACCTGTGTTCCTTCCCGAGCAGCACCTGGATGAAAACCTGGCCAAGCTCACAGCCAAGTTTGAGAGAGCCACAGCAGACAAACTCAAATGTCAGCAAGAAGCCGAAGCGACCGCGGGCACCATCTCCCTTGCAAATCGCCTGGTGAGTGCGGGCTCAGCGCGGAGCTTTAATTACATTAGCGGAGCTGTCAAGCCCAAGGAGGTGGGAATGGATGAGCCAGCGCGCGCTGCGTGGGCTTGGGGGGAATATTAAATGTGCTGGGATGCAGGGCCTGCATCCTGAGAAGGGTGTGAACGCACACCCCCGGCTGGTCAACGTTTCCCTGCAGAGATGGTTGGAGGATGGAACACTGGCTCCTTCAGGCAGCCCAGGCGAGACATGAGATGCTTACATATGTGTGTATCGACCAGAGGGAGCGTTAGAGAGCAAAGCCAGCATGTGATAGACAGGCTCTGAAGCTCTTGCCTGTGTCCTGTTCAATAATGAGGGTGTGAGGACAGGGAACTGAGGCAGAAGCAGAAAAGAATGAGACTTTTTTACCCTGAGAATTTCTGAACATGGCCTTATCTGTATGCACATCACACACACACACCATACACATCACACACATCTCACACATACATCACACACATCACACACATGCATCATGCACCACACATCACACACATATATCACATACTACACGCACATCTCACACACACTCACACACATCATGTATACATATCTTACATACATGCATCACACACATACACATGTATCACACACCACACACACATATCTCACACACCTCACACATGCATCATATACAAACATACACATGTATCACACATACCACACACACATATCTCACACACGTCACACATATGCGTCACATGCATACACACATGTATCACATACCACACATATATATCTCACACACATATACATGTATCACACACACATACATACCTCACACACACACATGGGCTCTAGCCTTCCTGGAAAAACATTAATCGGAGGGTCAGAGCACAGTGCTTGTGCTATGGTGACGGTATATCAAATTACTCTAAAATTTAGAGATTTAATAAAATAACCACTTAGTTAAATCTCCCGAGTTTGTGGGTCGGGAACTTGGGCAGATTCGGCTAGCAGGCCATTCTGCTGCAGGTGCCAACAGGGGCCACATGTGTTACTGAGCTGGAGGCCACGCTGGTCTGGAGGGTATACAGCGACTTCCTTCACATGTGTCTCCATGTAGCCTCAGGCCTCCCCAGCCTGACGTCACACGGTTCCTCAAGGCTCTGGGAGCAGGTGCTCGGGAGCAGGAAGCAGGGGTCCCGTCCCCCAGGCCTGGGCAGAGGCCAGCACAGGCCCCTCCACGGGTCCCACTGCTCACAGCAGCCACTGCTCAGGAGGGCGCAGGCCCAACTCCTGAAGAGAGGCAGGCCGAGGAACTCGTGGCCTTTTAAAATGCCTACAGCTCTTAGTCCCATCACATGTCAGCTAAGAACCTCAGAGCAGGGTCCACCCGATGTGACTTCCCGGCATTCCCAAGCCTTTGCAGCACCGACCTCACCAATAAAGGGCTTTTCACTGGACTGCAGCCAGTCTATACACAGCAAAGCCAGCCCCCTAGTGTGGGGAGAAAGGAACACAAGAATCAGTGGAGAGGGGCTGCACACAAGCACGTGTCTGCAGTCGATGGCTGAGCCCACTGCCGCACGGCTGTCAGCAGACCGACCCAGCTGAGCAGCGGGTCAGGGACAGCTCCTGTGCAGGCCTGCGGGACAGGCGCCGCCTCCTGCCCAGCTTCTGCCTGGTTTCCAGAACCTGCGCAGCATTCTTGGCCGTTGGAGCGCTTTCTGAGAGGGGCCTGCGGGGGGCAGTGTGTGCTCTGCTCCAGGAGGGTGGTGTGTGGGCTCTGACGCTGCCCTGCCTCCACCAGCCCAGAGGTCCTGCGATCACCACCTTCCTGGTCTTCACGGTGTCATCTAAGCATGGCCTCGGGAATGGTTGGGCTGGCACACCCTGCGATCTCTCCCATCCTACGATGCCATCTCCCCAAGAAGAAGAAATAGATACGTCTTAACACAGAAGCCAAGCTGCACCCTGCACCCAGCAGTTCTCTGTAGAAAGGGTGCCTCTGCTCCCCGGGGGCGCCCCGGACGGCCCGCCACCCCAAAGCAGGCCGGGCAGAGTCAGGACCTGCTCCGCATCTCGCTCCTTTGTGCACGCCCATCACTCCTGCCAGCTCTGTGTCTTAATTACCATGCCTCTCTCCCTGCCCACTGTGAATTATTTATAGCGCATGAAATTAATTTTACTTATTTTCATATCCCAGCATTTGGAGAAGAGACAGGAGAGGTGAATAATTTTCTAATATATTTTGCGGACTAGACACTGTGCTGAGGGATGAGCACGCCTGGTCATGTGCAAGCTTTTCAGCAGCCTGTGAGGAGGGTGGTGTTCATCCTCGTACCTATGAAGGGCAGACCTGGAAGGCTGCATTCAAGGCCTGCCATCGATCCACAGCCCACACAGCTCACAGCTCACAGCATACAGCACACAGCACGGACGGGGCTTGTTTGCTGAGATGCTTGCTGCAAACCCTCTGGGTCAGAAGGGCCGTGGCAACGATGCTCCGGGCGTTCCACGGGGAAGCGTGCGCTGTGAGCTGGGGACTGCGCCCGTGGCTCTGTGACAAGCCTTCTCTTCTCTCTGGCCTTTGAAACCATAGGTGGGAGGACTCGCTTCTGAAAACGTGCGGTGGGCAGAAGCTGTGCAGAACTTCAAGCAGCAGGAAAGCACGCTGTGTGGAGACATTTTGCTCATCACAGCCTTCATTTCCTACCTCGGTTTCTTTACAAAGAAATACCGGCAGAGCCTCATGGACGGGACCTGGAGACCCTACCTGAGCCAGCTGCAAGTACGTGCGGCCAGAATCCCCACTGCCCACAGCAGCCCGTGGCACCAATGCGCTCACATGGCAATCACCCAAACCTTCTAGTCTAGTGCCCTCTTGCAGACCTTCTCCCACCCCCACCTGAGCACCCGCCATGATGGCTGGGACCCAGGAGAGAGACATACATATTCACCATGTGTTCCCACAGTGCCCTGCATCCCCACCCATGGCCCTCTGGGCAGGTCAGCTGGGGGTATCCTAAGGACAGCAGCTCTCTCCCAACGGGGCCCTCTGGTCCCCTGCCCAGCAGGCTGTGCCCCCGGCCCTTCAGAACGATAAGCCCTGAGGGGCACCAGCCCCACCTGTGTTCCTTCCGATCTCTCTGCTCTTGAGCCACATGTCTCTGGGCTGCAGGGACCAGCCCCTCCCCAGCTTCTGCACTGCGCCTTGTTACCGGCCCCGGGCTGCACCATCTGTGCCCCGTGTGCACCGGCTTTATCCTCTCCTGCCATGTGCACGCAGCGGCCTCTTGGTGTGAGGGTGGATTCCCCCCAGCTCCTCCTCTGCACTGACGTGGTAGAGAGGGAATGCTGGTTCCTGGCTGAAGAGGCTCAGGGTTGTGTTGGAGCCTTAGACCAAATAACACCTGATGTGACCTGAGACGTCCACATCCCTCCACCCACATAGCCACGGAGCAGTCCGCGTGCCCTCTGGCCTCACGGGACAGCTAAGTCCTTCCTGCCCACCTGCCGCAGGCAGCTCCCAGTCCGGTGGGCTGGACTTAGCGCTAAGGTGCGCACCCACGGGAGGGGCTGCATTCCAGAGCTCACCTGTAGGTGTCGCCTGTGAACACAGAACCCACGTTGCCTAGTGAGGGAGGATTGGTTTCACACATCAGCTTAGGAAATCTTACCTGATAATTTGTCGAATAGTGCTCTAAAAACTGTTACAGCTCTAGGAAACAAACAAAAATAACGCTATTTATTTTCTTGGGCACTTGTAGAAAAGGAAGTTGTTAAAAGGGCGATCATTAGCTGAGCAAAGGAAGATGGTGGCAGCTTCGCAAGGATTTTTCTGGTTTTGTTTGGGGTTTTATGCATTTTCGTGCCCCGGACCCTGTCAGCAGTCGGGTGAGATCTGCGGATTCCTTCTCGCAGCGATAGCTTTCAGTGTGTAAGCTAGAAAGCACAGGTTACAAAGGAAGCCGCTTCCACAGAGCCATTTCCGATCTGGGGTAAGACCTCCAGGGGCAGGTCCCTTCAGAGGCTGTTTGATGGCACAGCACTGGCCACTCGCAAACTTAGCAGGTGATTAAAGGAGCGGGCAATGGTTTGCAAAGGTTTTCCCGAGGTAAGAGGGAACACAGACTGCAGAGAAGAGAGAGACGGAGGGGTTCAAAGGGCATGTGTGAGTGAACCTCGAAAACATGCTGCTAAATGAAAGTAGCCAGACACAAAATATCACATAGTGTATGATGCATTTTAAGTGAAATATCCAGACTAAGTAAACCCATCGAGACAGGAAGCGGAAGAGTGGTTGCTAAGAGCTGGGGGTAGGGGAGCAGGGGACTTGACTAATAATGGGAATGGGGCTTCCTTTTGGGGCAATGAAAGTGTTTCAGAGCCAGAGCTGATGGTTGTACAGCACTGTGGTGATTACTTCCATTTTTTAAAAAGCTATACGTCCCCAATGGAACATATTACTTACACAAGAATTACACAAGCAGAGAGAGGTCAACAGAGACAGAAAGGCAGGGCTCACACGGGCCGCAGGGAAACGGGCTGTGCAGGGCTTGCTCAGGCCTGGAGGGGCACCAGTCTCCCAGGGGCACCAGCAGGGAGTTTGCAGAGTCACATGGTCAGCCCTGGGTGTGGGTGTCCTGGGCTGGGAGCCAGGTCAGCAACTCCAGTTCTCTGCACACTGGGCCTCTGTCGGCAAGGGGTGAGGGAGTGAGAGCAGAGAGCGGTCAGTGTTGGCTGCACAGACAGAGAAAGCTCAGTAGGCGTGGAGCCTGGCTTGTGAAACACGCACGAGAAGCACAGACATGCAGTATGTTAGCACAGACATGCAGTATGTTAACACAGGTAAGGGCACTGAAGAGGCTATTGATTCAGATACAAATGATTTATGGTAGAAATCTGATTTAGGTGAATAAACTGAAGGGCAAGGGTCACACAGGCTGAATGTCTGCTGTTTTCATCAGTCAACATAAAAAATACTATCAGGACTTTAAAAATCCCGCTGCCAGAAATAATTACACATCCAGGAAAGCACTTTCAAGGAACTAACTCATCATTTTAGGGAACCACTGTGCCTCCACCCCAGCTGAGAAGGCACGCTGCCGTTCTGAGTGTGGGGGCGCTTCTTCATCCTCAGGTCCCCATCCCGGTCACCCCCGGCCTGGACCCCCTGAGGATGCTGACGGATGATGCCGACGTGGCGGCGTGGCAGAACCAGGGCCTCCCTGCGGACCGAATGTCCGTGGAGAACGCCACCATCCTTGTCACCTGTGAGCGCTGGCCGCTCCTGGTTGACCCTCAGCTGCAAGGCATCAAATGGGTCAAGAACAAATACGGAGAAGACCTCCGGGTCACCCAGATCGGTCGGAAGGGGTAAGTAGCCTGGCACGAAAGGTCCCACTTTTGCCATTTGTCCAGAGCAAACCAAAGTGTTATGAGCGGACCTTAAGCCCTGGTGGATTCTTTCTACTCTCCTGGTCCCTCCTGGTCTCCCATGTTCCTCCTCCCACTTCAGGACACATCTGAATGCCAGATGCTTGGGTACCGAGTCTCTGGTTTTCTCTCTCATTAGAGATCACTCGTGTCAGCCTCTCAACCCACTCAGGAGCCCTGGCTCCACTATCCCTGGCCTCCACCCTCACATCTCTGCTTGAACACTCCCTGACTCCCCAAGCATCATGTTTCACTGTCGGAATCTGTGTTTTACAAAGTCTTCCTCACCTTGAGCCAAAACCTGCCCACGTTAGGCCTCTCCTACCCCTTCCTCCCGCCTCTGCCCCTGAGCCACAGTGAACAAACCTAAACTCTCTTTCTCCTGAGGAACAACAGGACATTTGTGATTGGATGCATAGCAGCCAAGGAAACTTCAGAGCCCTTTGTGCCTGCCGTACGGCTTTGGACCTACAAGACGGGAGTTACTACTTCAAGAAGGGATGTGAATCCCAGAGAAAATGTCCATCCAGTACACACCACACTGTACAGGCCCGGGCCTCAGCATCTCTCACCCCATTACTACATGAGCCCTGTTACAACTTAGCCCTGTATTTTCAATATTCAATTCGTATTCAGTGCCCTAGGATACATGAGAGAAATAGAGTAGGGCAATGAGTGGTTGACATGTGCCATTCTCTTTTTTTTTCTTTTTTTTTTTTTTTTTTTTTTTTAGAAAGAACAGCAGGGACTGAGGGTGCGGTGAAGGGGGAAGGATGGTCGCTGTCTCTCCCTGGCCTTTGTTCTGGGGGCTCCGCTGGCTTGGAACACTGTGCAGAGAAAATTCCCTGACCGTGAGACATGTGCCATTCTTGATGGTACAAGTTTTATTTCAAACTAGAAGCCCAATGCACGAAATTCGTGCGAGAGTAGACCTTCCTTCCCCAGGCTGCCGGCACTGGTTTCCCTCAGGCACCCAGGACCTGGGCTTCCCTCACAGCCTTGGCTTCATTCAGAAGGTTGTCCAGAAGGATGTCCGGTATAATTAGCATATTACACTTTTATTGTTATAGATGCTGTTTTAATCCACACCACATATAAGGTTAGTGTTATTGGTACCATTCACATTGGAGGAAATTGAGTTTCACAGAAGTGATTTCCCCAAGAGTACACAGCTTTAAAAGCGATGGATATTGGTTCCCCCACAGTCATAACAGCATTATTTACAAGAGTCAAAAGGAGGAAGCAATCCACCTGTCCATCAACAGATAAATGGAGAAACAAAATGTAGTATGTACATACAATGGAATATTATTCTGCCTTGAAAAGGGATGAAATTTTGATACATGCTACAACATGGATGAATCTTAACATCCTTAAGGACATCCTGTTAAGTGAAATAAGCCAGTCACAGAAGGACAAATACTGCATAATTCCACTTATATGAGGTACTTAGAGTGGTCAGGTTCACAGGGACAGGATTGGTCCCCCAGAGGAGGGGTAGGGGAGAGGAGGAGTCATTGTTTAAGGGGGTACAAAGTTTCAGTTTTGCAGGATGAAGAGAGTTCTGGAGAGGAATGGTGGTGATGGTAACACAATAGCGGAAATGTTCTCAATGCCACCGAACTTCACACTTAAAAATGGTGAAGATGGTAGATTTCATGTATGTTTTACCATAATTAAAAATTAATTTAAATATTTTTAAATCAATGGAGGCAGTGTTTGAACCAAGGTGATCTCACTTAGAGATCCAAGGTTTATTTACTCGAACACATGGCTTCCAAAGTGAGGTTTGCTGCTCTGACCACTTGTCCCAAACATGCTTGTCCAGAGGTCCAGCTCACCCACGGTTGTTTAAAGCAAACATGCAATGTTGTAAAATTAGTTAAAGCAAATATTGAATACAGAATGGACTCTTTCTTATAGAGCAAACTTTGGTGAGAAATGACATGAGACATTTAATTAAAGTATTCTTTTCTAACTAACCAATAACTGCATTTTAGGGGGAAAAATGTTTGTTCTTTTTGCTCATTCCTATTGCCCTAATACCAAAAACAATGCTTGACACATAGGAAGCCCTCAGTAAACACCTGTTCAAATAATTCTCTGCCCATGTCCATTAACTACTCTTCTGTTAGATGGTTTTCTAGATTCAGTATCTACTATTTGAATGCAAATATTTTATTATATATAATACTAAAGGCCCGGTGCACAAAAATTTGTGCACTTGGGGGGATCCCTCAGCCCAGCCTGTGCCCTCTCACAGTCTGGGACCCCTCGGGGGATGTCCACCTGCTGGCTTAGGCCCACTCCCTGGGAGCCCGGGAGCCCTCGGGGGATCCCTCTGGGAGCCCGGGAGCCCTCAGGGGATGCCCACTTGCTAGCTGCAGTCAGACATCCTTAGCACTGCTGAGGAGGTGGGAGAGGCTCCCACCACGATCGCTGTACTGGCAGCCATCAGCCTGGCTTGTGGCTGGGGAGAGGTCCCCCCGTATTTTCAGGCTGGCCACAGCCCCTTCAGGGTGGGGGTCCCTGCTGGTGTGCCTGGCCAGCCTGGGTGAGGGGCTGATGGCTGTTTGCAGGCTGACCAAGCCCCCCAGCAAGGACCCTCTCCCCATGAGGGTGTGGCCATCCTGGGTGAGGGGCTGATGACTGTTTGCATGCTGGCCACAGCCCCCAGCTTCCAGGCTAGGCTGGTTGGATGCAGGTATCTGGGATTTATTTAGCTTCTATAATTGAAACTTTGTTGCCTTTTGTGGAGGCCACAGCCGGCCAGGGCAGGTGGGAAGCTTGGCTTCCTCCATTGCCGGGGCAAACAAGCCTCCTGCTTGCTCCAGCTCTGTGGCTGCCGGCCACCATCTTGGTTGGGTTAGTTTGCATATAGTTGCTCTGATTGGCTGGTGGGTGTGCCTTGGGCATAGCAAAGGTGCCGTCAATTAGCATCTTTGTCTTTTATTAGTTTAGATGTGTTGAGACTATTTAATATAGTCTCCCTTCATCAGAGGAGTGGATGTTTGGTTGCGTGCCATTTGTCTTTTTATTTGTGGGCTGAAACATACTACAGTTTGTTCAGATTTGCACTCATTTCTTCCATTGATCAAGCGTAGAAAAGTCTTTCTCTGTGCAGAAATTATGTAAATATTCACCTAGAATTTTTAGTTTTTTAATGGTTTTTTTACACTGAAATCCAAGCATCTGAAATGTATTTTAGGATATTATATAAAGTATAGATCTAATTTTTATTTTTGAAGTGGTTAGCCATTTTCCAATACCATTTACAAGATTCTCCATCCTTTCCCCCATTTATTAGAGGTGACATTTTACTCTATGTTAAATTTTCTTATTAAATGGATCTTTATTCCTTTCTACTCATATAATAATATACCAGCCTTTAATTATTTAGTTTTATATTTAGGAACAGTTATTGTGATATTTCTCATTTTAAGTATATATATATATATATATAT